CAGTTTTCAAGCAACAAACTCAAATGCCCTCTCCGCCCCTTTGCAAGTGTATTTCCTCCTCCACCCACATGCCAGGCACACGGCACCCAGGGGCCCTGAGGCCAGAGAAGGGAAGGGCTGATCACAGCATCCAGAGGCAGAGAAGTTCGGGGGAAGTCTTTCCTTTAGGACACGAATGCTTCCATTGATCAATCAATTAAAAAAAAAATGTTAAAAGATGGAAGAAAAAAAAAGAACACGAAAGCTTTTATAAATCTAGCTCGGGTTGGGAGTTGTATTCCTTTAGGGAGCCCTAAAACTGCAGCCGTGAGCTGAGCTCCGCCACCTGGACCACTTGCTCGCTGTGTGACCTCTGGCCAGGCACTCAACCTCTCTGAGTCAAATCAGCCCCTCACTTCTGCTGTCGCTACCGAGTGGCTCCTTCAGCTCCAACAAACTGCTCTTTTCTTCCCCCTTCCTGCCTCTTAATGTCCTCTTCCCTCCTAGCCCTGCCTGAAGCCAGGAGGCAGCTGGTCCCATTAGAAATCTCATTCACACTTGAGAAGACTGCAAATTGGTGCGAGTCAGCGGGTGTCTGCCCTTCGCTGGAGAAGAGGGGCCTGCAGGAGCAGGAGGGAACAGGAGGGAAGGGCCATTTCTCCCAGGCAGCCCTCAGCATCCAGAGCTGCTGTGGAGACAAAAGGGGGAGAGATCCTGCCTCAGAGACACATCTGGGAAGGAAACTGGGGTGCACGCCTGACTGGAGAGATGGATAAGAGAGCCCCTGCTGATATGAACCAGGGTGTAAAACAGGGAGCTGGTCACTTCCTGGGGGGCCAAGGTGGGGAACTCAGACACACCTGGGTTCCAGACCTGGCTCGCGCTGTGACTTTGGGCCAGTCACTTAACCTCTCTGAGCCTCAGATGCCTCACATGTAAAGTGGACTTCGTCACATCAATCATGCTAGTTGCTATGGTAATCAAGAGGAGAGTCATAATATGTAATGGCATATGTACATACCCAATAGTAGTCTGCCTCCTCTTCCGTGACTTTCAGAAATTCGGGAGGTGGGCCCAGAAATGGGACTGAGCTGATTGACAGCTTCCTGACGCATGCTCAAGGCACCCACGGGCCCCCTCCATGAAGTAGGAATGAATGAAAACCACCATCTCTCTATCCGTCTCCCCTATCATGGCGGAGTCTTATCCCATGTGAAGGCTTATCCTTTCCATACCCAGATCAGCACCTTGTCCATGTCACAAGACTCAATGTATACTGAAAGAATGAATGTAGGCCAAGCCCGTCTCTCCCCCCGGTTTTAAAAATGCAGAAATCAAGGCTTAGAGAGGTTGTGTTGCTTACTTCTAGGTCAATCAGCAAAACAGACATTCTCAGAACACGAAAGGGTTGGTAAGCCAGGGGTCGGGGCACCTGGTAACCCCTTACCTTAACTGCATGGACCAGGTCTAGCAGTCATCTTTCCAGGCTCGCATCTGCCTCCCGGAATGAGCAGGCAAGCAGCTCCCTCTAGTGGACTCTGTAGGTAACTGCGCCTTCGTGGCGATTCCCGACCTTGGCAGCAAACTGGATCACCCAGTCCAGTGAGCTTTGACATTCGCTGAGTTCAGGGCCCGCCCCAGACCAGTTAAGTCAGAATCTCGGGGTGTGGCCCGAGCGTCAGTATTCTTTTTTTTTTTAAATATATTTTTATTGATTTTTTACAGAGAGGAAGGGAGAGAGATAGGTTAGAAACATCAATGAGAGAGAAACATCGATCAGCTGCCTCCTGCACATCTCCTACTGGGGATGTGCCCGCAACCCAGGTACATGCCCTTGACGGGAATCGAACCTGGGACCTTTCAGTCCGCAGGCCAATGCTCTATCCACTGAGCCAAACCGGTTTCGGCAAGCGTCAGTATTCTTCAAAGCTCCTCTAGTGATTCCAGTGTTCAGCCGAGACCGAGCCACAGATTTCGTGTGTCAAGAAACTGGAATAGAACAAACATCGGTAGAAAATAGGGGGACAGGCTGGGTCACGGGTGCAGATAGAGAATCTGCTGGAATGGAATGAATGAATGATTTGCATTTGGCTCCCAGAGTTTTGTCAGCTTCATACTCTCAACAACAAATCTTACACGTGAGCATGCGTCAGGAAGCTGTCAATCAGATGGGTCAGATTTCTGGGCCCACCCCCTGAGTTTCTGAGTCAACAGGCCCACACGATTCCCGGGTGATGCCCAGGCTGCTGGTCGAGGACCACACTCAGAGAAACCCTGCTCTGAAAAATGGCCATAGTGACACCCCCTTCACGCCTGCACCTGGGCCAGCAGCATCCCCAACAGTCCTCAAAACAGATACACAAGACGGGCGGGATGGCGGTCGGACTGGGGCAATCACGGTTTGTAAGCCCGACACAGATCAAGTCCTTCGTCTCGAATGCTTCTGGGTTGATAAGGTGGGGGAGGAAAGGGTGGGTTCATAGGGCCAGGGCTTGGGTTCTGGGCTTTCTCCCACCAAGTCCCAGCTCAAAGGGGGTTCTGTTATCTAGGAGCCCCTGTCTTTGTGGGAGCAGGAGAGACTTCCACCCCAGGAACAAAAGGCTGAGGTCCCTAATGGCGGGGTTGGGGGTACTGCCATCCACAGTCATGATGCCAGTATTGGGCCATCCCTATTGTATGCCTGGGGAGTTTTAACTTTTTGGCTTTCTAATATTTTTTATCATAAGTCTAAGTAGTTACAAAGGATGTATCATCAGTATTGCCATCTTTTTGAAAAAGTGTCCTTAAATGAATGCGATGAAGTCTGAATACCACAGTAATTTGATACCAACATTATCTATTTTAAAAGTGCATGAGAAGGACCTGAGGCATAAGGAGAAAGCCACATGACAAAGTAGCGTGTTTAGGAACCGAGATGGACCCCAAACTGACCGTCTGCAGAATAGGGGCCCGGTCCTACAACTGCAAGGAAGTGAATTCAGCCAATAGCATGACTGAGCATGGAGGAAGGCCCCAAGTTTCAGGAAAAAAAGGCTGGCCATGGGAGATTTTTTTTTTTTTAGGAGGAAAGGAAGGAGGCAGAGAGAGAGAGAGATTGATTTGTTGTTCTACTTATTTATTCATTCACTGGTTGATTCTTGTATGTGTCCTGACCGGGATCAAACCCGAAACCTTGGTGTATCGGGATGATGTTCTAACCAACTGAGCTACGGGGCCAGGGCAGGCCATGGGATATCTTGATCTCAGTGTTGAGAAACCCAGAGCACAGAACCCGGACTTCTGACCCACACAAACACCTCTATTTTAGTAAGTTCCACTTCCTGTCCAGAGAGGGGATGACCCACCACAGGAATTCCGCGGATGCGGAAGGATTCAACATACTGACACCAAGATCTTTGTGGGAACCAGCAAGAATACTGCCTCCCCCCCGCCCCCGCCCCCACACACACACACTTTCCTTCCCTCTCCTTAGAAAAGCCCACAACCCAGGCATGCGCCCTGACCAGGAATGGAACTGGCAACCTTTCAGTGCATGGGACGGAGCCCAACCGACTGAGCCACCCCGGCCAGAGCTCTCCTTAACTTCAAGTGTCAATTTCCTTAGCTGTAAACCGGAAATAACAACAGTAGCATCTCACATATTGCCTGGCACACAGGCTCACCATAAATGTGAACTGTTTATTATTGTTCTCGTTATTTTGGGGGTTGCACTGGATCATCTGTTAACCACGCTGTCACCGCCCAGATCTGAGCAACTAGTCAGGCACTGTGTATCCTATTCTGTGTATCCCAGCGCACAGCCCACAATAAGAACTTATGAGTAAAGTATTGCAAAAGGATAAACTTAAAAAAAAAATAGCGCCGAAAGAGCAACTCTGATTAAAAATGTTTCTTTAGTGCCCATCCTGTATATTATTTCACCGAATGCCCACGACGACCGAGGAGGTAGCGCTGTGAACTCTGCCAGCCATCCTGCCTTTGGGGACACAATGCTCACGGGAGGCCACGTCCCGACCCAGGGAGCGGGGTGCACTGGAGTCGGGGGACAGAGACGGGAGAGGACCACGGGCAAGGAGGCCACCCTCCACTCCGGCCTTTTTAAAATTTCCCGCGGGCGCGTCCGGCTGGAGGCACAAACCACGCCCCTCCAGGAGTCCCGCCCCTTTTGCTGTCGCGCGCCAATCCGCAGAGAGCTAGGCTCTCTCAGAGAGCCAATCAAAAGGGGTCTTAGGCGGGCGCTGCAGTCCAGCGAACCAATCGGCGGGCAGGCGGAGCGGGGCTTGCCCGGGCAAGGGGGACTTGC